GTGCTGCTGGTCTGTGGACCATACTGTGACTAGTCAGTTCAGACTCATAAAAGGATTTAAAGATTGGAAAGTTAATTATTTGTAATAGCTGCATCGATTTTTTTCTGATTGGGTATAGGCACTTACATGTTTTATCTTACTCAGTTTTTCATAGAAAATAATTAAAGGCAGGTAGTAATATTTTTACAGGTGAAGAAATTGAGAGAGGTGGAAGGAACATAAGTAGTTTGCTCAAGATTTCATAATGGTTTTATAATGCTCAAGGTTTGGTATAACTGGGATGCAAATTTAAAGGACACCAGAACCTTTGCTAGATCTATCATGTTTCCATGAGATTCTATGGGTTTTTTTTTCCTTTTGAAACCGATTTTCTCACCTAAAAACAGTTTGTAGTTGTGGGAATTTGCTCTATTCCTTACAACTTGAGAATGGCAGGAAAAACCTAACATTTTCTCAATATCAAATTTGTTGGATGGGTTCAGGACAAATAAGCTTTTTAAACATTAAAACATACTGTCAAACTTAATCTAAAATTTTTAATGTATGTTCATTTTTTTAGTTGTAAAATATTGGCAAGTATTAAAAAACAAAGTCTTCTGTTATTCTGTTATTTAAACATAGTGATTTTTTACTATTTTGAGTTCCTCTAATACACATGCACACCCCGGTAAAATTTTAAAAATTGAGAGTGTGTTGTATAAAGCTAGTTCCTTATTTTCTCTAAACAATCACTTTAATAATGACAAAGACAAAACTATTTTACTCTTTCCTATTTTTATCTTAATCATTGACATCATCTCCACTCTTTCTCACGCTTCCTAATTCTTCACCTGTTTTACTAACTGCTGTCAAATTCTTCTGCTGGTTTCTTTGCAATATCTCTTCAACTTGCCCATCTTTTTCACATCCAGGTTCAATTTTTTCCTACTAAGTTAATGACGATTAAATCACCTTGTCATTGTTAAATTTATTCCCTGCCTCACTGGTTGACTGTTCTGACTGCACACAATATCTTTTTTCTTTATTTTCTCCCATCTTGCTAGTGACTTATGGTAATAGTTTAAAGTCAGTGAAGTATCTGACCATCTCAGGTTTTATTTCTAACTGATTCTTTAACTTACTGCCTCCATTGCCAGATAGGGTACTAGTTTTCATGTTTCCTTTTCTAAAATGTAGTATCTGTGAGTTTATATTGTGTGTGTATTTATTATATTTTAATAAATGATCCCACCCTATTTAGGCTTTTTAAACAAGTTGTTGGTTTGATCATTAAAACATTGCATATATATGGGTGCGAATGCTTGGAGAAGTCTGTTGACATTTGTAGATGTTTAAACAGCTCAGTTCTTCTATACTTTGAGAAAATGTCGTATCTGCCCACAATCTTTATGGTTTCTTGTTAGGGCAGCTTTTCTCAGTGGATGGATCCATAGAGACTGAGAAATATAATCTTACAGCTTTATTCCTGCCCTCTGCCGGAAATACAGCAGCTAGAGCTCTTTTGTGACTTTCTAAGAATTTTTGTTTTTGAATAATAATGGAAAAATGGTTGTGGATGAAATTGGGATGAATAGTACATGTTACAAGGATTTATTTCCTAGAATCATGTACATAGTCTCTTTGGTAGGCAAAGAAATACCTTTATCATTGGATTTTTGGGAACATCAAAGATTTAAGTGAATAAGAATTTATAATTAGAAATTAAGACTTAGTAATTAAGGTTATCTTGTTCACTTAGCGTAAGTGTGGGTGTACAAGCCTTTTTAGGTAGGATAATGAGACCATGGTAAAGGGAATATAACAGGTAATGATAGGAACCTAGATCTGACTCCAGATCTGATTGACACCAAACCTATGATTGAAACCATTGTTTTAATTTTATAAATCAATTATAATTTTATCAACTCCTGTGTTCAATTTAAGAGTGTTACTTTTAATATTCCTAAAATATTTTTTCATATAACATGACCTATGTAGTGTGTGATGTGGACATTGAATAAGATTACTGATTATAATGATTAAGAATTATTGAATTCCTTGGAATTTTGATTTTCTGATCAAAATCTGACCTACATCTTATCTCTTAGTACACTCAAGTTTTATTTTTTCTTAATCTCTTTGGTTCTTACTGATAAATATTACTTGAGGATATACTTTGGGAGAATTTAGAGACTCAAAGATTATCTCTCTTTGTACTCCGTCAACTTAATAACTTTAATTATATTTCTGTGAACTAACCCCTGTATTGATGAAATTGTAGATTAGGAAGTAACTTTATTAAGGTTATATAACACTATAAATTAGTAATTAAGAGTGAAGGCCTGGGTTTGAATCCAAGTTCTTCAACTGTGTGACTTTGGGCAGATTTTATTACCTCTTTCAGTTTGCTCATCCATAAATAACTATAATACTCATTTCATATAAGTGAATTGTGAGAATTAAAGGAAATCATGTTCATAAGGGGTTTAGCACAGTGCCTGGCACAATACATAACATAAAAACAGTAGTTTCAGTTAAGGTAGACTCTAAAAATCATGGAGGTGATAGATAGGCACATATATTTTCTTAAAATATGTTAATAGAAACTTGATTCAGTGAATTTAAAGTTTTAAACACTATGTTTTTAAAATAGATTGATTATATACTTAAAATAGCTATTTGACCTTAAAAGAAAAAGAAAAATATTAGTATTTTTGGCTGTATTTATCTTATTGACATGTCTTTGCTTCTGACACATCACCATTGACTTAACACCTCTACCAGAAGAAAGATAAAGAAAATAAGAAACTAAAATTTTCAAGTTTTATTTTTAGTGAATAAGCTTTACAAATCTTTAGGGGGAGATAATTTGTAAATTTATGTATTTTATATATACATCTTGTCTTTAACTTATTTCTGGTTATATTAAAAGTTGGCTATCTGTTGGGATCCAAACTTGGCTAATTGGAGAGCTTTCTTCTCTTCTTGCCTCCCTCTCCCAAGACCTGTTCCTCAGGTGATTGGCCAGATTTGGCTATCACTGGACTATGACAAGTCTTTGTAGCCCTGTGAACCTTTTAATGGAACATACTTCTCCCCCACCCTGCCAACACACACATTTTTTTAAAAGCCTTCTGGTCAAGTAATAAAGCCACTTAATTGCTTTGAAAGATACTTATGGCAAATATTAGTCTCCTTTAGAGAAAATTTGTCAACTGTTTGTACCATCTGAGCACTCTAACTACTCCCTGGAATATAAAATGATCATTTTAAAAATGTTTGTTTGCGTTTAAGTTCAAGTATGTCCTTTCGTTATAGAAAAATGTAACTCAGGCTGTTAATAATATAATCTTATTTCTCATTTTACTATTCTATATTACCATGTTTTTGTGTTTTATAATACCCTGCTTAGATTATGTCTCATGAAATGGGTTTACACTAACAGGTCTGGAGAGGAAGCCCTGGGCCTAGGGTGAGGCAAAGTGTTTAGGGCACATTTAAGGAGGCACTCACTTTCAGGGTTGTGCAGAACCTCCTTAATTGTGCTCTAGACGCCTGCTTGCCTCACTCTATTCCCAGATCTGCTACAGAGAAGAGGCTACATATAAATTATTTTAATTTTAGTTTAGCATAGTCTCATGCAGACTCGAATGTTTCATAAAAAACTAATGATGGAATTAAAATTATGTAGCTGAATCCAAATTTATATTACCAAGAAAGAAAAGTTAATTATTTGTAAAAGATGACATGATTTTATTCTTACATGCAATTACTGAGTTGTCAGAGCTTCAGAATTTCCATGTCAGAAGAATCTTGTCTCATACTGAAATATGCCTGATGGTTTTATATACTGGCAACTACCTGAAATCATTAGTGCTCTATCATAAACTTCTCAGTTTGATATGTAGTACCTTCAGCTCTTAAACTTTTGGGTAGTTATTGAAGTAATAAGTAGTGATGCAAATTTCACTACATTTTTATTAATAATTTTAAAATTCTTTGAGAATTTGCCTGTGATTTTCCTTTTTTTTTTTTTTTTGAGTGCTACATCTGGAAATGCTCAAAAGTTGTTTGCCTCTTTAAGAGAACAGTTTGCAGTGAAGGTATAACTTATTTAGAGGTGAAGTTCAAGTTAACAAATAGTGAACTATAATGTGAGGAAGCATAATATTGTGAATTATTATTTGGCAAACATAACTAATGCAGGCATTAGCTGCTGAAGTCATTAATAAAGTACCACTTGCAGAAAGCTAGAGATACGCAACACAGAACTTTCTCTGTAAACTCTCAGAATGTAAACTAGAGTACAACTTAGTTTATTCAATAATGACTAAATTCTTTAAGTTGATAGTTTGTAGGTTCCATGATTAATGTGTAACTAGAGTATGAAAGGAGTATTTAGAAACTGTTAAAATTTGTAGATGTGACATCATTGTCAAGTCAGGCATTTTATTTCTTAAAGGTAGAATTTATTTAAATGCGCTTTTTTTTCCAAAATAAATTTTTATTTCTACTTACAGCGGTGCCAAAGTAAGTTTTCCTAAGTAGAATTATTTAATATTTAAGTCTGTTGATAGTGTTTAAAGTAAACAAAAATAAACCTGTAACAACCAAGGATGGAGGCATATCTAGATTTGTTTTTAGCTTTCTTTTTCATGGTTTCTCAGAAGTGTGTCATATTATAAATACATTCAAAATGTTTTTCTCTGAGGATATGTAGCATTCCTATAAAGGTTAAATCAATAAAAATGATTTGGACACATTCCTAAGCATGGCTCGAACAGGTAGCCCGTTGTTTTAGGTACCCTTGAGTTTCTGGAGCAGATCATTATGGCGTAGCAAAAGAACTTACTAAAAGTTGCTTTCTATGTGTAGATGCATCAGTTTAAAAAAAGTAAGATTTTTCTGGCCTTCTAGAAATGAATATTTTTAAAGTAGCCCTGTGAATATTGATTTAATGACGGGTTTTAATTGATTTAAAGTTTGAAGCTTTTTTTTTTCTTTTTCTCCGAATGCTGAAGATACACCGTAATTGATAAGGAAGAGGTATGTACAGGAAAAATACAATGGGCAAGCCTTTCCAGCCAGTTTGCGTAAGTGGCAGTCTTATGATTAAGATAGTATCACACATTATAATTGTACAGTTAGGAATTAGATATGATTCTTTTAGTCTTGTCAGTGTAGAAGAAAATTCTGTAGTCACTGGGATGTTATCTGTTTGAGCAGTTCAGAAGACAAGCTTTAATATGAGCATTATCTTAAAAAGCATATGCATTTCTCCTAAGCTTAGGTTTGGCTTCTTAGTGGGGCATTGGTGCTAGGTAGAGTTTTATACATTTTTTTCCTGTTTCCTGTTTATTTCATATGCTTGAGTATGTAAGTTTTAAGTTCGTGTTTTCAGATCGCACTCTTTTCACAGATGCTTTTCAAAAATATCTTTCTGTTAGCTTACAAGATGATTTTTTAAAAGATTCTTTAAAACAGCATTGAGAGTACTAGATGTTTTTAGATCATGTGAACACAGTGAACTGACCAGGTATTTGGCTAAATAAGGTTATCAAAATGGGAAAACTGGATTTCATTTATTAATGTAGTTTCATTATAGAAAATCTCTTCCTATCATTTTGTACATGTAATATATAATAATTTTGTAAATAAATACTTTATCAAAAATATTTTATTATGTTACTTGTTGGAGCACATGATTTTATTTCATAGCCAAGGAAATGGTTTGAGCAACTCAGTAAAAAAATTTTTACACATATAAACATATATAGAGTGGTTTAGCCATTTAATAAGTAAATAATTTGGCAATTTAAGCCAAATATTTTATTTGCTTAGAAACAGTTATTTAAGTGTGTCTTAATGTATTGTAGTTTATCATTGTATTTAAAAAATAAGAATATTTAGGAAAATAGAAATAAGCCTAATAACCAATATAAGGCTGAATTTTCTTTCTGGATAGTTGTGAATGGTAATTAAAAAAACCTCTTTATGTGTTTTCTCTGGTACTATTCATATATTAAAACATTCTACAACATGTTGTAGTGGGAATATATTGTTAAATCTTTTTACTAAATCAATAATAATTTTCTTCTGCAAAATCAATTGTCCTTATCTAGCTTGGATATCACATTTTAAAAATGAGGTAGATATGAGTGGTAAAAAGTTTTGAGAATGTAACAAGTTTTCCTTCTGAAATTGAGAACATACTATGTATATTTAGTTTTAACAACTGGGGGAATGTAAAGAATTCTGTGTGAACACTGGAGTTTTAATGGTATGAAAAAGAGGGGTTTCTACCATGGAGACAAGGTTGAATTCATGATCAAAGGTGTGGATTACATTGATTTTTGTGTTTACATTTCTTTACGAATGTACTATAGTGTTTTGTCTTTGTGAGTAAAATCTGCTTTATGGATTATCTTTTTACATATTTTCATTTTGTATTGAACTCTGTATTTGTAAGAGTAGTAGTAATTTCTACATTTTGTCAAAAACTGAATTACTAAAAAGCTTTACAAATTTCATGAGAGGTAAGAATCTTTCTAGGTTAATTTTTGTAACCAATTATCTTGCCTAATAGTGTTAGGATGTTAATGGAAGTTTTTTCTTAGATATTTTCTTATAACGTCTTAATATTTTTGAGTTGAGTTTTAAAGTCCTTAGTAGAAAATGTTTATATACTTTTACAGTTACCCATTTTATGGAAAACACATGATGGATATAATGTAGATTAAAGACGTTTTCTTTCTGTGGTACTATAATATTGTAGATTTCTGTAAGCTGATAGAAATTTATGAAATAAAGTGAGAACTTCTCTTCAAAAAAATAGTTTCTTTGAGCTGTGTTTACAGAAACATCTTATGAAATGTTACTGATTACAGGGAATCTGTACCCTGTATATTTTGGATACTCATGTACCTCTTTTCTAGGATCAAGTTACACGAATACAATAAACCACAGGGTTAAAATATTAATTATAAGATATAGCACTTCATTATCTTTTCACCTTCATAATGAATTCTCTTTGCGTAGAATCATTTAAGTAATTTTTAATCATTTGGAAGAAATTATAGTACCTTTCCACTTAAAGATTATCCTGGAAATTTGAAGATTAAATTGGGAGGTTCAGTAGAGAAATTTTTAAATAAAATTAATTATAAATACTATGGAAATGAAATAACCAAATTAAAAATCACAATGCCTAATTGTTTGCCTGGGTTATATGGGCAGTGAGTAAATATATATAGTAAATATATCTATTTTGCTCCAAGCCAGAATTGTTCTTTCAGATAATGACATAAGTAGGTATTTGCTAGAAGATTAATTGTGTTTATATGATGTCAGTTGTTAATTATTTAAGTTTATAACTGGAAAATAATGTCCTTGGGATTTGCAAGTACAGTTTTGATTATTTTTATCTTGACTTCCCCAATTAATGCCTGATCTCTGTTACTGGTTTTAAAAATTGACATTTCTCTTAGTATTCATGCAAAAAGTAATTGATTATTTTTCACAAAACAAGTACAAATAATAACTCAGTTAAATAATTCATAGTTACTCTTTTCTTGCTCTACAATCATTTTCCCAAATTCTGTAGTCACTTCTGTGTATGCATTCATGTGCACACGCAAGTGCATATACAATGTATTAAAATTTTGAGCCAGACTGATAGTTGAAAGAAATTTAAGTTGTATTTATGTGGCAAATATTTTGCTTCTGTATAAAAATTTGTCTGCGCCCATATAATATTCTGTGGAGTGCCACATCATAATTCAGATCTATCCAAAGAAAGACTGTGCATATCTATGTTTTTAAGATCTTATTTATTATTGTTATTGTGATTTGGCTAGCATTTTTCCTTTGTTTTGTTTTTTTTTTCGTTTTTACTGAACCACAAAATGGATTTAGTTGTAAGATAATCTAACTATAAAGAGTATGTAAACAGTGGTTTGGCACAACTCATGGTTCAGGTAATTTTAGAGGATCTATAAATGTATATCAGGTCGCTGAGCTTTTTAGTCTTTTATGTAAATATATTTTTGTATTTGATGGTATAATGATTTCAGTAGACACCATTGATGTAAAAAAGAAAAAGCCAGTTTGAGAAGCAAAATAAAACTATTTGATTTTGTGGTAAAAACTATTTGCCTTTCACAAGATACTTAGATATACCTTGTTTAGAATTTCACTTCCCTAATGTAACTTATGTATAGTTTCTAAAGGGATGACAATAGAAATAGTGCAGATAACAGAGTCTTTAACTGCCACAATAATCTTAAATACGTATCTGAGAATAATGTTAACTTGGTAAATTTCCTGAGATCAATACTATATTATTTTCAAATGTCTTGAGTATTAAAATTTGCATTTCCTTAATATGTCTATATGGTGCAGAATTTGTTTTGTGGGCAATTGATTTAAAAAGGAACATTATTTAATCAAGATAAACTAAGGTTTATTCTCTTTTTATTAGAACCATGATCACACTTGGGATGATTTTTATTCCTAGACTATATATCAGATGTTGGATTTATGAGTATTAACAAGAATGTAGGCTATTTATAGGAGATGTAATAATCATTTTTTTCCCACTGCAAGTATTAAATGTTTATGTAGCAGGTAACTTTCAAAGGACTCTCTAATTCTGCTCATCTTATTGGGGAATTGTTTTATATATCATGGTAAATGATGAAGTTTTTATTTGTAGAACAAAGTGTATTTATGAAAAAAATACACTATAGAGTTAAGATCATGTTCAACAATAACAATAAACACCTGATGTTTGATTTGGTGTTTTGCTTACATCCATCCGACACTATTCCAAACCTTGAATCCTATGTCTTTACTAAATATAGTATAAAGGGGGAAGAAGTTCTTAAGAATTCAGCATAAGACGAAGATACTATACATAATGTAATAAATCTCAGTCGCTATACAGGTTTTTAAAAAATTTATGTGGGAATGTATGGCCTGTTTTATGTGTGTTTGCTGGTGAATGGGCAAAAGCTTGTGGTCAACTGTGGTTAAAATTGTAAGGAAACTCCCTTTGAATAAGGTATAGAATTTCCCCATTATTTTTTGAATTGTAACACATTAATCAAAATACATATCCACTGAATTTCATAATCTTTGAAATGGCAATAGATTGTGTTAAGGTGTATATTTTCATTATGTGAGACTTCCTTTTATAAAGGTTTGTTTTAAAATAATAAACCTCAGATTACATGAAGTATTTCCTTATACTTTAGACAACTTAAAATACTTTACTCTTTAGAAAATAATATTGGAATTTATTATTATCCTTCTTATGGAAGTTTAATGACTTTTTTTTTGGTACGGTTTTATCTTTAGTGGAATTCATTGGTATAGGAGAAAAAAATAGTGCATTAAGATAACCTATTGGGAAATTTTGCCTAAATCAACATTGGTTTTGCTAACACCCAATTAGTAAGTCTTGCATGGTAAATGACTAGAAAAAATAGTTGTCTTTGTCACATTTACAGTTTTATTATTTGCAGGAAGGGTTTTTTTTTCATGTAGAAGGTATTCATTATTTGACCATATGTGTAATATTGTCAGCGTTACTGTAGAGGTAGACTGTTCCAGTGAATCCTTTATGTAAAAATATCTCAAAGATCTTTATTAAGTAATAGTATTTGCATCTTAATGCTTTTGAGAAGCTTATGCATGACCTCATTATTGACTTAGAGTTGTCACATTTTAGTATCCTGGAACAAGGGTTTTAGAACAGCATGGAAGGTTGGTATTTGTATGCTTTGGAGAGGAATTTGAGATGTTACCCTGTTTTGCCATCAGTTTTCAAGTATGAACGGGTGCATCATTAATCATAGGAAATGCAAAAATAAATAATCCAGTCCCATTGGATTTTTTAATATGAATACTTACCTTTTCCCTTTTTGTATATACAGTTGAGGTATTTAGGTAACCCCTAACCTTTTGCTTCAACAAAGAAGTACAGTATAAGAATATTACCACAGTTTTAATGTGAGCAGCTCTTGAGAGGAAAAAAAAAAGCCCTCTAGATGAATATTTGTTGAAGAAAAGATTGTGATACAGAATGTCTTAACTCAGCCCCAATACAGTACTTGAAGACCACCAGTGTATAAAATTGAAAGCACATGAGTTTTGTAGCACTAGAAAAGGTTTGTAATTGATTAGCGCTGCTTGAAAGTATTGAAGTACAGTGAGTTTTGATTTGTGAATAGTTCTATTCAATAAAGATTAATTCTGTGTGTTTGATAAAATCTTAGGGCCGTCAATGAGTTAGCTTTTCCCACCATGCAGTTTATTTAACTATCAAATATTTTCAGTGTTCTTTTAACAAACTGGAACATTTCTATCTTACTGAATTTAACTTTAGCATGACTGATTTAAACAAGTCAAACTATCAATGATTATTTTGAAGGGTGTAATTGAGTAGATTAATTTTTTTGTTCTTTTGAAATAACTAAAATATATCATAATGTAATCATGCGTATTTCATGCCTTTCTTGTGATTTAGAGGCTATCAGGAGGTTCAGACAGACTAACAAAATATTTTTTCTGTGATTTCTTTTAAGTCTTTTACATTTAAAAATATTTTTAGAGTGTAAGAGTAAAATCCTTGATAATTTTTCATGTAAAATTAGGATTATATCTGATAATTTAAAATAACTTTATGTTAAAGTGGGAATTGCATTGGCATTTTTGATTTTAATATATGTTGGAGTACTTTTCTTCTGTGTATGTTCCTGAATTTTTTAATTGTCTCCCCCCTGAATTTTGGAATTTAGCTCTTTTATTTTAGAAGCAAGTTATGATACTTTGTCCCTATTAAATCTTGAAACTGAAATTATTATTATTGATATGGACCACAGCTATTATTTTGGAAATTAGTGTTCACACGTCATGTTCTCTGTTAGCCATGTTGGTTACTATGGACATTTACAAAGGTTTTATGCAGAAATCTAATCAGTAGGCTGATACGTATTTGTAAATAAGTTCTTAATTGTAAGATACTCCATGTATCATTTTCAACAGACTTTCTGATAATAAATACTGGGCAGATTTTGAGTAGTGCAGATTGAAAGTTCTTGTTTAATCGAAGATAAATGGTATGCTGAGAGAGCAAGGACACTGAAACATTTTGTGTCTGTCTCTGTCTCATACATACACGCACACATGCTTTTCACTTGTTTCATTTGAGGTGAGGCGGTTCGTCAGCATGTACTTTGTCCTCACCTGGGAAAAACTTTTTTTAAAAAAAACTGTATTACAGAATTGGAGCACATTATTTTGACATTTCATTAGATTGTTTTGATAATGTTTACATAAGAACGTAAAGCCTAAAGTGAGGTTTTAGATTTCAGTTAGATCATAGAAAGGGGAAATGTTGGCAATGTGATGGTAACCTATATGTAATATCTACTACCTATCTACCTGTAATTAATTTGGTGTAGTAAGTTCTCTATTCAGGCTCTGAAGTACTATTTGGGGGTGGGAGATGTTAAATTCCACTTTTCAGAAGAGGAAGAATTAGTAATGATGTCTAAATTTATGACATGTGATACAAGATGATCTTTATCTTTCTAGTTCACTGTTATGCCTTGTTTAGAAACTTGGTCAAATTTTGGAAGTTTTACTGTAGAAATAGTTTACTCAAGATGTCACAAAAATATAAAACCCCTCATATGATGGAGTAAAGGGAATTTTAACATATTCTTTGTGACAATATTAATAACTTCTAATGCTGAAGGAGCCCTTGAAACTTGTGTTTCCACAAGATTTGGTTAGAAAAATGTATTTTTTTTTTAAACGGAGCAATATTATGAAAGAGTAACTTAACTGCTTGAGATGCCTGTTTCAAGTTATCCCTTCATATAACAATAGTTTTAACCATTTTTTTTTCCATCTCTTGGGTAGGAACAGCAGAAGTTACCGTAGAACTATAATATAATATGGGCTATAATACAGTCTAGTTGTATATATGTTCTGCTTCCTTAATGCAGAAATTTTTAGAGTAATACTTATTACCTATCATTACATTTTTAAAAAGAGAATCTGATTATTGCATTATATGTATTATAATTGAGTGGGCCCATTTACAGGCAGGCATTGAGGGAGTCACTACAACAATTTTACATTTTTTGGTAAAATACAAAGTACATTTCCTCATCCTTTTAAGAGACCTTTTTTTTTTCTCCTTCAGGTTTAATTATTTCTCTTTGGCCTAAACTAAGACTGATCCTCTGGTAGCCAGTTAAAATGTGTGAAGTAGGAGGAGTAAAGGAAACTCCAATCATTAGTTGTAACTTATAAAGCAAAGTTAATATAGGTATACACAGCAAAAGGATTTATTTTAAAGGATAAAAGAAAATTTTATAAAGTTGCCTTGTAGTTGGAACATGTTGGACATCATAAAGAAAATCTTGTAAGTGTTTAGATATTTTACTATAATAACCATGTCAGCTGATGAATTTTGAAGTAGTTTACTTTTGTGTATCAACACTAACTTGAAATGAAATATTAAGGGATTATATCCTGCTTATTTTTTTTTTTAAGTCCAGCATGATTTAATAGATAGGGTTCTTTTAAATCATGCAAGGTATTCTTATGGAGTTTTACTTTTCATGAGACTAAACGGTATTAATTTTGGTAGGTTCAAGAATATGATTAAAAGGATCCTAGACATTTTAGTGTTTGCTTTGTGTTGACAAGTTCTACATGTGGATAATAGTATGTAAATGTAAATTTTAATTATAGAATTGATTATATAGAAAAATGTAATTGCATATGAGTTTTTAAAGACTTCTGTGAACTTTTTAATATCTTGAGTATCCTGAACAACTATAAAGATCTTTTAAAAATGGCTGTTACATATCTTAATTTTATTTCAGTTGAATATATGCTTTAGTTACGTAAAGTTGTTTAGAAACAAGCTTATGCAGGTATCTTATGCTGTTTAAAATTATAAGTAGATTTCTTCTAGTTCAGCTGGTTAAAATATTAACTGTACTTCAGGTTTATTTCTGTTTTAAATGGTAAAGCATAATGTTGAGATAATTCTGTGGTCTGCTGTTTTGTAAAATTGCTTCCTTTTTGAAGTTTGCTCAAATATTGGGAGCTTCCTGAGTGAATACTCCATAATACTTTGATTAATTTAGTGTCTAATTTTATTTCAGAGAGTTAGTGAGAATATTAAGCTTTCTTTTACTGTTTTAAATACTTCATTTCTATAACTCTAGAAAACATTTTGACTAGTGTGGAATTATTTAATTTTTTTCTATTTCAAGTCATTACTCCAAGAAGTAGATAAGGTACAGATGCCAAATGCATATATGTACAGCAGTTTCATTTTTCAACTTTTAGTGCAACAAAATAGCAACACTATTATGATCTTTAATACAGCGTTATCTGGAAAAGCTAGCAGTTTATCCAAGAAACATACCTTTATGTTTAACAGGTTCATCTCTTACATGATTTTAAAATATGATAACACTTACCCCAAAAGAAGTTTTGCTGACATGGTGTCACTGTGCTGAAGAGGCTGTTTGATGCCATAGTCCCTCCTTTTTTTTTCAGATAGAACTTGTACCCTCTGTTGTAAATTCTGCTTGCAGCCTTAAACTGAAAATACAAACCATACCCAAACCTTGGTTTAGTTTTACAGTATGCCTGGACTACATAGACTTCATATTTATTTTTTTCTGTCAAGAAATTATGTAGCTGGTAACATGTGAAAAGCAAGGAAACAAAACAAAAAGAGAATGAGCAAATATTTGAAGGACCTACTATTACTGCATAGACTGTGGTTAGAGAGCACTCACTGACTCTGTTGGTCTCGGTGGCTGGTAGTGACCTGCGGAGATTAACCATTTAAAAACCAGAGACTTCTTGCTGTCTTCCTGGAGAAAGTTTGCACCGCACTTGTGGTTCTGTGGTTGTTTGTGAGGCGAATGAAGCATTCACACAATCCAAAAAAGCAAAAGCCTTAAAACTCCTTTTTTTGCAAGCACTATTACTGGAGAGACAGAATCATGTGGTTTGTGACCTCACAGCACTCAAAGTAAAGTGGGACTGCCTACCACTGTGGCTTTTCCCCCCTTGCTCTTGCTCTCCCTCTCTTTCTCTTTCTCTCTCTCTCTGACAAAGGCTTGTGGTAAGGCCCTTCCTGGCATCCAGAGGATATAGCTTTTTAATTTTTGTGACTCATGAGGATTTGGATAGAATACAAATGCTGAAGGAGCCCAAACTCCTGTAAGGTTAAGCATTTCTTGAGCAGAACTCTGCAGTTAAGAGCTTTGCTTTCTATTCCCCCACCCCCACTTTTTTCGCCTCCTCCTTTTACTTGGTTCATTATTTTGTCTGTGGAAAAGTGAGCAAAATTGGCTCAAGAAGCTATGTGAAATTCTGAACACAGTGATGATTTACTATAATTTACATCTTTGGATTGTATCGTATTCTAGGGTCTGCTTCATATTTGCTGGGTGATTGGAGTCCTTCTGTTTTTCTTTTTCTTGTCTTCTTAAACTTGTGAATCTGTAACTCATTGTAAAAAAGTTTACCTTTCTTAGGGTCTGGTTGCAAACTGCTGGGCTTGACTGTAATCGGCTGTCGTGAAAGTGTTAGTCTGGGGAATTCCTTTACAAAGACTAAATCATGTCTGTTCAGTTTATGTATGATCAATATTAGATGCTGGCTCTTAGAGACTGAATGTAATCAGTATCTTTTATATATATATATACCTTTATCTCCTGACGAGTTTGAGGATATTACAAAAATGAAAGGCAAGAATTGTAACATAATTTATTGGATGAATCTTAGTTTCCTTTATGCTTATAATAATTTTTATTTTTCAAGGAAATTCATTTTGTATAATTCTTTAAATGGTTTATTTGGATATTAACTTTAATAGGGCTTTGATTGCAAATCTTACACAAATACAAAGTAAAATTCTTCTAACTTAGATTGCTCACTATTATTGATTTTTATAAGCTCAGAATGGAGTGGGTTAACAGAAGCTGTATTTTTTGTTTATAATGGCAGCTTTGAAATAAATTACAGAATGCTGTGTGTAGTAAGGAATGGTGCACACAGACAGAATATGTTAGTCCTGTCTCGATTTGCTAATTCTGATTCAGAAGAAAATTGGAAACATCTTTGGGAAACTATCTCCCTTCTTTGCCCTTTTGGACATGTATGTATAGTACTCATTTTCTTACTAAGATGATTATATATTGTAGGCAGAGAATTTCATATGTATGAATAGAGCTTCCTGTTTTCATCAGTTAGGAGCGATGGGGTATTTTTCAACAAAAATTATAAAGCCGAACAGACCAATTTTCTCAGCGTTTTTTTGCCATTTATCCACGCCACTCTCAATTTGCTTGTTAGACCTCTTCCTAGTGTGATAGTAACTAGGAGTGGCGTGAAGTAAATGACTAGGAGGGTGGGCGGAGACAGTGAATTACAAAACAGCATTTGGGGTGTACAATGGGGTAAGGGCTGGTTGGCACTAAGGAACGTGTTAGAGCCAAAATATTCCTGTGATGGCCTTCCTAACACTGGCCGTTATCTACTTTTGGTTTATATTAGATAAAGATAAATGTACAAACATGTTCATAAGTTTCTTTGCAGAAAATTGATTTGCCTGAAATACACTGGGAGGACATGGAATGACTTTAATCCTTTATTATTCAAATATTCAGAATTTTCTATAATAAACTTCTAGTGACAAAAACCAGGAATACAGTTTGATGTTTTATTTTAAATGTAAATTTATCATGCCCAATTGTGTGTATAAACAGGTTTTACTCAAAAACTAAAAGCCTTCATTTAACATGCAGTTTATTCATGCAAAAGAGAGAAAAGTTGTTCAGTTATTCTGTTTTATAAATACGGTGTACTGGTATAATCTACATCTCTAGTTAATATTTAAATTACATTAATGGAGGACTTTATGTAATTTGTGGAATTTCCATATGGCAGTTCCGTATGCATGTACAAGAGCAGCAGAATCAGGCAATTGAAAATATTTAGGTAGTTGCTGCAGTGTTGTCAGTAAATGCTTTTCTTCTTTTAGGACGAGTTTTTAGTTTCTGCATAAAGATTCTTCAACATCTTACAACCCCAACTTTGCTAAATATTTTCTGCCTTAAAATTTTTTTTAAGTGTACTTTGGCCCTTTAAATTGACTTTCTGTGTATTTGAATAATTTTTAACGTCTATGTATCTCTTAACTGCTTGCTCTTTTTGCAGGTAACCCTCTTCTACATAATTTTTTGGTCAGGGTGATCACTCTTATTGCTTAAGAGCTTAATAGATGTTGAGTATCTGTCCCATTCTGGCAGGAGAAACGTTAGTGAAGTCATGTGCTTTAAAGTTCATATATTTATTATACACACTTTATTTTTCTAAATTGAAAATATATTCTTTGTGGAGCAAATATTACTTTGTGGTAAAAATTTAAAACCGGTGATAACTGGCGTATGTTTGATAATTACCATGTTGCTTTAGAAGTAGCTTATTACTACATTTGATGAAAAGGGACTGACTCAGAAGTCACTGTAAGCAAGCTCTTGATTATGGATTTATGCTATGCTTAAAATAAAAAATGGGAACCACAGGGCCTTTTTTTCTTTTCCTAAGACCCTCAAAATGTCATCCTTTTTGGGAATATGTTAGTATTCGCTCTGTTGAAGTAAGTAACAAGTTTAGGTCTGCTCTATAAATTATGTACTTTAATGCCATAGGAATGAAATATAGCTTTGAACTTGAAATCAATTTCGAAAAGTAAAGGAGTTGGGTATCTTGCTTCCCTATTGCCTTGTATTTAATAAATGTGTCAACATTGGTCAACTTCATATATTGTATACTGTTAGGTGATACAACAATATATAATAGTGTTTTAAATGCTACATATATCAGTTACCTTTTAATTATTATTTTCTGAACTAATGATTCTATTTTAATAGTTTTATTTATCAATATCAATCTGTTTTCCATTTTTTTGTGTGTATTGCTTTAAGGTTCTATTTGCTGCTCTTCTATTTTTCCTTCAGTTGAAAACAATAGGAGCAAATGGTTTGGTCCAGGAATTCTGTAAATTGTAGAAATCCTGATTTGACTTAAAATGTTATCCTGATTATGAGGTTTTAGCAAGGAACTTTTTTAATTTATTGTTTCAGCTTGGGTATGTGACTGTATTTTTTTGACAATTTTGTTTTAAATTTGGCATATATAGCTATTTAAGCTTATATAACATGTATTGGGTTTTATATTGATGATTTGAAAAAATTTACATTAGTAGATGTGTATAATTTCACTAACATTTTAAATTATGATGATTATGAGAGATTTGTTCCACTTCCTTATTTTAATTGGGTATATGTTCATATACATAACTGCATGCATGTGTGTGATTGTATGTGTGTACAGGATATTATTTTGTGGTATTTTTTGTAATGAGAGTATTTTTCCTTTTTTTCTTCTCAGTTTAATTAAATTATATGAAAACTCAAACACTGCCATGTCCATGGTTGTTTCAGCAACTTCATTTGGTTAGTATCAGCAGCTATCTGTCTAAATGTGAGACTATGTGGAAATTGGATGCCAAAGGAGAAAAACACTAAACTTGACTCTCTCTTTCTGTCCCCCTTTCTCTCTTCTCCTGTTCTTCCTCCTTCCTTTCCTCCAGGCTTTTCTGGTTTCTCTTTCTCTGTTTTGACATTTCTGTAAAGTCTCAAAATAGATTCTTAAGGTTCTAGTAGGAGATACCAACATTAATCCTAATGAATACAGGTTTGAAGCTCCTAGCATTCAAGACAAATCACTATCACGACAGAGCACACTTCACTTGTTGATGGTACTGGCATCTGATGGCAGAGATTTTCTTTGAACAGTTTTTAATTCCTTCCTCTGTGTGAATTACTTTAACACATTGTTTCACATGACTTTAAAACTTTAATTGTAAGGTTACATTTTTCCTCATTGGACTATTCTTCAAAGTACAGAGTAATCCATATTTGTTTAATGTAGCTGTACAAATAATTCATCTTTCTTATAATTATTAGAACAATTCATCTTCTAATACTGTCATTTTTCTAAGAAGAAAAAAGGCAACAATTTGCAGAAAATATGGGAAACATACTCATATGACAGCTGAGGATGTGGCTAGGTTAAAGCAGGAAACTACTACCCACAATGCAATGTTACATACACTACCACTTAATAAAATTTATATCAAACATGCTACTGACAAAACCAAAGAAAAATAATATCCCAACTATGCTACTTAACATGCTAAATATTTCTAAGGAAAAGTGAAACTAATCTTTTTGGAACCTTAGTAGAGGGTATAAAATGAAACTGTGGGACATCATAGTTTATTGGAGCCCTGTGATAACTTGCCTTTGTGCTATGGGACTTGGTTGTAGGTGAAATTATCTTATAATGAGAACCTTTTGGATATTAGCTCCCCTGGAAAAGGCATAAAATGACACCCCCTTTCTTTTTCAATTGAATTGTTGTACTGTTAAATAGGGTTACAGGACATTGTCATGTAGTAGGAATATTAAGTTAAATTATAAGATACTATTCATCATGATTAAACTTTTTACTCAGCCAGGTATATATTCTATTACATTTTATTTTTTGTTGTCTTTTATTGTCAAGTTTGAGGTGAGGCTTGTATTGTCCACTGAGGCATGTTTCTTTTAAAACTAATTATTTTTCTTGCTCTTTCTTTTTATGTTAACCTACCTATAGTTTATCTGATCAATCCATATGTGTTACTGTAGGAAGGTTAGTTGAAAGCCAAAATGTAAACTGATTTTATAATGTGGTTGAAAAAAATTAAAGTTATCTTCTAAAAAAATCAGGTTTTAATATATTTAAGTTTTCTATTTATAAATCTTAATTTTTTGTGCTCTTGGTTGTCATACTTTAGCAACTTTGCTGAATTTGTTACCTTAGTATTACAGATGAATTTTGAGGTTTCATAAGGTAGGTTTTTAAAGGTTTTTAAATAAGGGAACATAATAGAGTTTTCGCTTTGATAAGTAATGTACAGAAATTTTATCAGAGGAAGAATAGAAAAGACTGTAAAGTTAGTAACTTATGAAAGGTCTCCTTTTAGTATTCCAAAATACAAATTGTCACTGTTTCATACCTGGCATGGTATTTATAATCTCATCATTTAAACATTAGTATATTGTCTGTCTGTCTGTATTTCTATTAGGGATGATTTGCTTAATTGTTTGAGGTATTTTCTCCTTTAGAAACTGCTTATCAATAACAGCTGTAATACTGTGGCTTTTCTCCATGGACTCATGGTGGTCTTTGGAACAACGTTCTTCAACTTTGACAGGTGAGACAGAGGCTCTCCAGTACCACTGCTTTTGGATGAATCTAGCTGTGGTTGGAGAAAGTGCATCTTGCCAAAATATATGGGTGAGACCACACACAGCCTTTAAAATAGTTATTGTAGGCTTATTTTTAGGGTTACATGTCTTGACAGTTCTTTTATTTGCATGCCAATTTCATGGCTGTGTATAGATTTTTCATTGGTTTCAGTAAAGGCAGTTGCAGATTTAGGTATCTATTTGTTAAGCCTTGTTTATAATTTACCCTGGAAAATACTCCTGAGTTGATCTGCAATTAACAATATAGAAAATATATTGAAAATGAATCATTAGAATACTGATCTTTTGTTTTTGTAAATTTGATAGTATTCCCATTGGAAATCTCAATTTCCCAGACATTTAGTGGTAAAATACTGCTCCAATTTGAACTTCAAATAAATTAGGATAGAATGTTAAAATAGTCTTATACTTTATTTACATTAATAGTAAAATAAAATTGGTTTTTGTTATTCAGAAGTAAATATTTTTATAATGCTGATTAATAAAAGCAGTGTTCAAAATGCAGTTTTTACACTTCAGTAAAAGCTTGAAAGCATTGAAGCAAATTACCAAGGAAGTCAATTTCTTAATACATAGGCATAAAAATGCAAAGCCATGTAATCTTTTTATGGAGTGATTAAAAGTTTATTCAACTTAGTGAACTATAAAACTGACTGTATGTTTCGTCTTTTGAAACTGGCTTTTTCCGTGATCAGTAAAGAGTGCCCTTTAGACTTTCATAAAATATTTCTTTTCATAAAATGATGTATTTGGATTAATTATTCATGATTCTTATCAAGCTATTAGTGATAACTATATTAAAACTTCTTGAATCCTGTCAAGACTTTTTATTTGATGAACAATAAATGTTGGTTAGGCTTATATTATAGAGAATTATAACCAGCTAAAATAAGATTACAGTTTCATTCTAGGTATTTTCATAGGGAAAACAGAACCTACCGAGATACCTGGAAATTCTGTTTCTTCTCTAATATTATTGCAATACTCTTCCATTGTTGAATGGGTCTGACAGGAAAGTACTGGGGAAATGTGTCCCTACAGTTTTTCCAGAGAACAAGTTATGCAAAGAAGAAGAGAACACTGCATATACAAAAAGATTGTTTAAAGAAAATTTAGCCCTTGCCTTTCAGAAATTGGTCATGTATGCAAGCCCTGATTGGATGCTAGATTTAAAAAGGAGAGCTTTATAAGTCAACTTTACGATATTTGAGGAAACTCAAATGTGGACTGGATATTGGTAATACTATGGAATACATTAAGTGTGATAATGGTTTTGCATTTTGGAAAATATCTTTATTCTTAAAAGAGGTGCATGATGAATTATTTTCATGAAGTCAATACCATACTTAAACAAGTGCATACATAAAACAAATGTGGCAAAATGTTACAGTTTGGTGAATCCAGGCAAAAGATATACAGGCATTCATTTTACTACTTCTATTATCTTAAACAGTGAATTCTGAAGGGTGAAGCATTTTGTGGAAAAGGAATATAGGGATTTGATTTCAAATTGAAATCTGATATTTGGGAAAAATTCATTTTTTCATATAAGTAGTTTAAAAAAATAAGTGAATATGAATAGCACAGGCTATATACATAGCATTTTAGATTTTACTTCATAGTTTATTCTAATTTAAATTCTATTCACAGTAAAACACAGCAAATTTTCACTTTACACATAGCAAATATACATTATAAATGCTATAATATTTTTGAAAATACCAACTTTCAAAATGTTACAGTAACACAAGTCTAGACAAATAAGCAGAGAATTCTAGAGGAACAAAGCAAGCATCTGCTATTACTGTGTCATTTGTTTATTCTTACCTGGATACTTCTAAAATACATGAAATATGTTAAAAAGTTCATTCATATTAAATACTACTGAATTTTACTACTGCTATAAATTGTTTATACTACTACATTATACTATGTAAAGAAGTATTTTAATAAGCAGAAATCTAAATCTTTATGTGCACATTATTAATTCTGATTTTGTGTGTATTAGTTAAGACCCTACCAGGTGCTTATACATTTTTTCTGTAAAGGGCTGGGGAGTAAGTATTTTTGGCTTTGTGGGCCATAGGGTCTCTGTCCACTACTCAACTCTGGTGTTATAGTCTAAAAGCAGACAATAAATTAGACAAAAAGTAAATGAATGGGTATGGCTCTGTTCCACTTGAACTTTATTTACATATAAACAAGCTAGCCTGCCTGTTTTTCGCCCACTTCTGCCACCTATATTTTATGTATAGAAATTGGTGACCCAGTAGATAACCTCTTTTGTAGAACAGGCAAGGATAATTTGAAATAATGATCTAACTTTTAGTTTACATGTTACAATGGAATTCTTTCTTCAAGTATTTACAAAATCTGAGTTTTTTTGTTTTTTGTGTTTATTGTTGTGTGAAAGATCACATTTAGGGCACTTCATCACTGTCTATTAAATTGAGTAGTGCAATTTTATCCTGATTATATAATTATTATATATTATGAATAGTTTTACAAGGCACTTTAAAGTCCTTTTAGGGATGAGGTTGGAATCCAAATAAATAATCTCAGTTGTAGCCTATCCCCAAATTATTATAAATATCAATATTTAATTTATCTACTTCTTCATTATTACTAACAAGAAAGATGCTAAGATTCCTATACATTTTATCCACAGAAATGTTTTCTTTTTCAGAATTCACTGGGTTTATTGTCAAAGCATAGATATTTAACAGCTCTATTAACAGCTCTCTTAGTGATTTTGATGAGCTATTTTCCTGCTGTTTCATTTATATTTGAATTTAAATCTGACTAGAAAAGGAATTAATTATTTATGGTATTAATCTCCAAAACATTCACTGAACCCACCATTGGACATAATACCCAAGTAAATTAGTTTTCTGAGGATTCACGTACATTAGATAGATTATTATTTATTGGATAATGGTGATGGTTACAACAACTGAGGTGGAAAAGTAACTGTGATATAATGAGTTATAAGAATTATGTATATTTGTCTTCATCTGCAGTTCCTGAAACTCCTCAGAGCCTTAAAGATGAAATGGGTTTCTTGTCATGTTAATAAGACACTTTTGGACCCCACCCAAGGGCAGTGGCTGGAGGTTGAGTCAGTCAATGGCCAGTGATTTAGTCAATCATGACTCTGCAGTGAAGCCCTCACAAAAATCCATGAGAAGAGCTTTCGTTTCTTTTGCATCCTGCTTCTCTGTCGGAGAGAGGTTCCAAGCTCGGGGACCAGAACCCTTCCTTGTGCTGCTGAAGCAGGCCCCAAGCTCCACGAGGATAGAAGCTCCTTTATTTGGGACCTTGCTATGTATTTCTTCATCTGACTGTTAACTTGTATCTTTTACAGTATCTTTATTAAACTGGTTAATGTAAGTGTTTAACTGAGTTCTGTGAGCTGTTGTAGCAAATTAATCAAACCTAAGGAGGGGGAGGTCGTGGGAACCTCCAATCAGTAGCTGGTTGGTCAGAAGCATGCTTGTGAATGTTGCATCTGGAGTGGAGGGTAAAGTGCAGTCTTGTAGGAGGGAGCTCTTAACCTAGGGAATCTGGTGCTGTCTCCTGACAGTGGCAGAATTGATGAGTTCTTGGACACCTGACCAGAGTTAGAGAATTGCTTGGTGTCATGTCTGGGGAATACCTCCACATGCATTGGAATTGGATTCAGGAACCCAAAAGGAGTTCCTGGTGAGGGAATTCCATAACTTCTTTCATTTTTTAGTAACAAACAAATAAACCTGTTTTCTGGTCTGAATTTGAGACCATTAGTGTATTAATATTTAAGGTTTTAAGTAAATGAGCTATGTAGAAATGAGAAAGCTTTAAGCAAAAGTCTACAGTTCAAATTATTGAACACCTTATTTTATCCATGATAATTTTAAGCAATTCCAAATATTACACACATAGCTAAGGATTAAAAGGTTGAAAAATTACTATTATATAATCTCATATAATTGCATCACAGAGGAGCAGTCTTTCTCCCTTTCTCCCCTGTAAGCTGTTGTGTTTGCCCTCATTTATGATAAAATTCTAAAATGATTGTTTTAATATCTCTCCCCTTCCCCCAATAATTAATTATGGAAGTCATATAAATTATTGTAAATAATAATAAGAATCACCTGCCTGGGAAGGAAACATACAAAAATACTAATATGCAGAAACTCATAAAGCATCATTCAGGGTCATTAAAAGTGAGTTCAGAGTGCCCTGTCTACCCTAAACATTTTTAAAGGTATCACTGTGTTGTGCCAATTTAATAAACTAGTTGGCAGAATGAACATTTATTAAGCATACTTTGTTTCAAAAGATGAATATTTAATATTTATGTGGGGAAGATTTTAACCAAAATTAATATATAAAAAAGTTCTGGCATTTAAAGTTATACTATTCTGTAGTGGGTAAATTAACCTTTGAGGACTAAAACCTGTCCTAAATATTAATGGTTAAATATAGAAGTTTTAAATTATATTTTGCTATCTCTTTATACTATTTTAAATCTTTAGGACTCTTGTCCTTATTAGCTGTCAACTTTTAAAACATTAAGAATCCTAAAAAATTGTATATTTCTGGCAGAATATAAATTATTCAGTATAATCGATGTGTACAGCAATGTTGCTATATAGTTATTTACTGCTTGAATTTTTTATAAATCATAATATTGAGAAACATTAAAAAGAACCATTTAAAAAAATAATAGGCTTTTTCAGAACAGTTTTAACTTTATAGAAAAACAGCAGCAACTACAGAGTTCCCATATACCTACCCCCATGGCCCTCAGTTTCCCTTATGATGAGTGTCTTGCACTGGTGCCCTGTGTTTGTTACTGATGAACTGATGTTGATACATTGTTAACTAAAGTTAGTAGTTTACTTCAGAGGTCATTTTTTTATTTTGTACAATTCTGTAGGTTTTATCAAATCCATAATGTTACATATTCACAATATTATACAGAATAGCTTTCCCTAAAAATCCCCATAAGATTTTGGATAAATACATATAACATAAAATTTAGCATTTAAACCATTTTAGCAACTGATTTTACTCTCAGTAGAAGTTTTTTTCAGAATATCATGTAGTTGGAATCACATAAAATGTAGCCTATTCAGACTGGATTCTTTGACCTAGCAGTACTTGTTTAAGGTTCCTCCATGTCTTTTTTGTGGCTTAATAGCTAATTTCTCTTAACTGCTGAAAAATATTTCATTGTATGGATGTAGTACATTAGCCATTCAACTCTGAAAACACACCTTGGTAGCTTCTAGTTTCTGGTAATTGTGAATACAGCTGCTATAAACAGGACTGCAGGTTTTTGTGTGTGCGTGTAGACATGTTTTCAACTCATTTGGGTATATACGTAGTGAGATATCTGCGTTGCTTGGTAAGTCTGTTTTTAACTTTGTAGAAACTGCCAAACTGTGTACAAAGTTATTATCATTTTGCATTCACTGCAGTAATAAATGAGAGCTCCTGTTGCTTCATATTATTGTCAGCATTTACTGTTCTCAGTGGTTTGAATTTTAGTCATTGTGATAGGTGAGTGGTGGTACCTCATCACTATTTTAACTTGCCATTGCACAATGACCAAATGATGTTGAGCATCTTTTCATATGCTTATGTGTGCAGTCTGTATATCTTCTTAGGGAGGTATCTGTTCAGATCTTTTGCTTTAGTTTTACTTAAATTGTTTTCTTGTAGAGTTTAAGAAATTCTTTGTATAAACCACATTTTGTTAATACATTCATTTTTTGATGGACACTTGGGTCATTTCTACCTTTTGGCTATTGTGAATAAGCTGTAGTTGAACATTAGTATACTAGTATTTGTGTGTCTCATCAGTTCTTTTGAATATATACCTAGCAGTGAAATCTTTGGGTCACAAAGTAATTCTATGCTTAGCTATTTGAGGAGCCATCAACCAGATATGTGTTTTGTAAACATTTTCACTCAATCTGTGGTTTGTCTTTTCATTCTCTTAGCAGAATACTTCACACAGTGGGAATTTTTCATTTTAGTGAAGTTCAGGCTATCATTTTCTTCTCTCAAGAATCATACATTTGGTGTTTTATCTAAAAACTCTTTCCAAACTCAAGGTCATCTATATTTTCTCCCATGTTCTATAAATTTCATAGCTTTGAATTTACATATGGATCTATATCCATTTTTGAGTTGATTTTTGTGAAAGATGTAAGGTCAGTGTCTAGATTAATTTTCTTTACATTTGGGTATTCAGTTATTCTGGTACCATTTGTTGAGAAGACTATTGGATTGCCTCACTCTTTTGACAATACTGCACTGTCTTGATTAGTATAGCTTTATTATGTTATAGTAGTATAATGTATCAGTTTGTTGATATTTGCAAAGTTCACTGGAATTGCATTGGGTCTTTATAAGGATCCAGTTGGAAAAAAACTGACATTTTAATGATATTGAGTCTTCCTATGAACACAGACTATTTTCCCATTTATCTAATCTTTTTGATCTCTTTCATCAGATTTTATAGTTTACCTCATACAGATTTTCTATATATTTTGTTAGGTTAATACCTGATAAATCATATTTTATGCCCATGAAATGGTGCTTTATTCTAAATTTCAAATTCCAATTATTGATTGCTGGTATAAAGGAAAGTAATTGGCTTTTGCATATTAACCTTGTATCCTACAACCTTGCTATTAATTACCTATTGTTTCCAGGAGTATTTGTTGATTCTTTGTGATTTTCTACATGGACAGTCATGTCACCTGTGAACAGTGCTCTCTTTGGAGCACACAAATAAATCAATGAACATAATACTGTATATTAGATACTACATAGACATACAAACATGATTCTAGATAGTGGTAGAAAAGGGTAATTTCAGGTAGTGTGAAGGGTTCAGTGGAAGTTATTCGTAATTGGTGAAAGCTAAGTTTGAAGGACCGTTAGGAATTGGGTCAACACCTGTATGTAGGAATGACGGAAGGGAAGGAGTGGTGGGGACTGAGGCCAAACAACCTGCAGCATGTTGTGAATTGCAATCAGTTTTAAGATACTAGGGCAAAGGTTGGTTGAGAGGTGGCTGGAGAAGAGTTTGGAAAGGTAGATAGAGGCTAATCAGAAAGTACCTTTCTTATTTGCTAAGCTACCAAGTAGATTGAACTTGATGTTCAAAACTGAGGAACCATTACTGGGTTTTTAATGAAGGATGAGACACAATGTAGGTGTAGAATGATCTGTCTGGTAGCAGTGTGGAGGATGTATTACTAGAGGGGACCAGGATGATTTTTTTAGCTGAAAGAGGGCATGAATGAATTAAAGTGTTAGAAAGAAAGGACGCTCTGAAAACTATTAATGGAAATTGATAGTTTATGTGGCATGCAGTTCTATTTATAAACAAACTAATTGGCAGAGTGGACATTATGTTAAGCAATATTAGAAAAGACTCATTTAATCGAATGTAGGTAAATGTGAAAAGGTTTTTGTTAAGTCAATAATTCAAAACATGCTAAATCACATACATTTTCTACCTATCATAGCACTAAATCATGAAATGAAGTAGATAGTGCATGGAAACAAAAAAATATTGCAGTTATATTGGAGCTGGTTTGAAAAGACCATAATATTTTGTGGTCTTTAAGGTTATTTATAAATGCAGGTGGTGAGATAAAATGAGTTCCAATATTCCAGTAATGTGAAAGTTGTTGGTTTATATTTTATATCTAACAGCTGATATTTCTGACTTTATATAGTGGAGGTAGTATAGTATTTTAGGTTTGGAAGTATCTATGAACCATGATTAGCCACATTACTTCAAGACAAATAATGTCCCCATATTTCTTGTACTTCCCCCTTGAAAAATAAACAAACAAACAAATGCAAAAACCTGAAGAAAAAGCCTATTCACTAGTGATTTCTGTTGAAACATAAGTGTTCAGAGTCTAAACAACCATCAGGCCATGGATTTAGTAGAAATGGAATCCATGCTGCTTACATTCTCAATGTTGCATTTGGGTTTCTGTAATTAACTCTTTCCAGGTATAAAAATTTCAGCCTGTTGATTTCTTCTGCTGTTTGTGTTCTTTCAGGCTCAAGTGTGTTTTAATAGTAAGTATATGACAGACTGGTGACAACTTTGTACCATTGGTTGCATTTAAAAAAAAAGAAAAGAAACAGCAGCAGACTCACAGAACCCAAGAATGGACTAACAGTTACCAAAGGGAAAGGGATGGGGAGGATGGGGAGGATGGGAGGGAAGGGAGGGATAAGGGGGAAAAAAGAAAGGGGGCTTTATAATTAGGATGTATAATATAGGGGGGCATGGGGAGGGCTGTACAACACAGAGAAGACATAGTGATTCTACAGCATCTTACTATGCTGATGGACAGTGACTATAATGGGGT